AATTGACGGAGTAAATGTCAGGGGGGTAATTGTCCGGGTAATGTTCTCAGGGGGTAAATGTCAGGGGGTAAATGTCCGGGGATAATTGTCCGCGGGATAATTGTCCGGGTAATTGTCCGGGGGGTAAAATGTCCGGGGGAAATTGTTCCGGGGTAAAATGTCTGGTTGGTAATTGTTCCGGAGGGTTAATTGTCCGGTGGAGTAAACTGTCTGGGGTATTTCTTCGGGCTTGCATGGCATGGGGGTACATGCATGGGTAATGGCATGGAGGGAAATGGCATAGCGGTAATTGTCACCGGGTGATTGTCGGGGGTGAATAGCATGCGTTTTCGTGAATGGCCGGGGGGTAAATGCGCATGCGGGGAAATGGCCATGGGGATAATTGTCCGGATAATTGTCCGCGGCGGTAAATTGTCCGGCGCGTAAATGCCGGCGGTAATTGTCCGGGGGTAATGTCCGGGCGTAAATTTTCTGGGCTAATTCGTCTGCGGGTAATTGTCGGCCGTATGCGGTAAATTGCCGGGTAATATTCCAGGGGTGACTTGTCCGGGGTAAGATGTCCGGGGGTAAATGTGCTCGCGGGGGTGATTGTCCGGGGGGTGAATCGCCCATGGGGGCTAAATGCATGGGCGTAAATGGCATTAGGGGGTAAAATGCAATGTGGCGGAGTAATTGTCGCGGGGGTAATTGTCCGGGTGGTAAATGGTCCGGCGGGGTAATTGTCCGGCGGGTAATATGTCCGGGGGGTAATTGTCTGGGGGGTAATTGTCCTGGGGTAAGTGTCTGGGCGGTAATTGTCGCGGGGCGGTACATTGTCTGGTGGGTAAATGTTCGGGGGTGAATTGTCCGCGGGTAAAATGTCCAGGGGTAAATTGTCACGGGGGTGATTGTCCAGGGGTGAATAGCATGGGGGCGTAAATGGCATGGTTAAATAGGCAATGGGGATAATTCGTCCGGGGATAATTGTCGGGCGGGTAATTGTCGGGCGGTAATTGTCCCGAGGGTAAATGTCCGGGGGTAATTGTCTGGTGGGTAATGTCCGCGGGGTAATTGTCCGGGGGTAAAGTCCCGCGGGTAATTGCCGTGAGTGATTGTCGGCGGGGGCGGGTGGAATGGCATAGGGGGGTAAATGGCATGGGTACAGCGTAAAGTGGCATGGCGGTAAATGGCATCGGGATAATTTGTCCCGGCGGATAAATGTCCCGCGGGTAGATTTGTCCGGCGGCGCTAAATGCTCCGGGAGGTAATTGCCTCCGAAGGATAAATGTCGGGGGTAATTGTCTCGGTGGCGTAAATTCTCGGGGGTGATTGTCCGGGGTAAATGCTCCAGGGTAAATGTCTGGAAGGTTAATTAATCGCGGGGGTCGGATCGTCCGGGGGGTAAATGGCATGGGTAAAATGGCCTATCGGGAGGTAATTGCTCCGGGGGTAATTGTCCGGGGAATTGTCGGGGGATTGTCCCGGCAGGTATTTTCCTAGAAACATCATAATAGATATTATATATTATATATACTATAAATATATATAATTATACCGTGTGTGTTAGCAGAAGGAGCATTTGACAGCATTACCAGAAATATTAGAAATACATTTCGATGTTTATTTAGCCATTTTTTTCTTCATTGAGAGTAGTAGACCGCTCCAAGTCCCTGCTGACTGCTAGGGGCGCTGGGAGGGCTACTAAATAATAGAGCTATATTGCTGGCTATATTGCCATATTACCTGAATAATTGTAAAACATTACGACGACGTACGACGACGGACGTCAGCCATTGTACAAGCCTCCATTGACTGCTGTCAATGCAGCTTAAAAAATGATGGTAATAAACACGAAATGTATTTACTACGACAAAGTCTCAATGTCTTGCGTATGCCCTAATCGACTAATAGTCCACCGTAAATGCCGTGTAAATACTCATTTCTGCAACAGCAAGCCTCCCCTACGCACCCGCCTCGTGCGACAATCAACAGTATCCAACGCACATGTTCTCGTCACACTTATATGCAGAGCAAGTATTCAAAATAATTATATCTTTATAATCATAAAGTTTTCAAATAACTTATGCCCATAACATGTAACCATACAAATAGGACCCACGTGTCGACGTCCTATCGTGTGTCACGTGTTATCGTGTGTTATCATGTACGTGTGCTGACGTGACCAGATATGAACCTCAATAATTAGTCTATAATATGGTGTAATTTAATTAACAACAGCACTGATTAACACTGATTACGTAGGTCAAATATAGCCGTGACATATTCATGCATCGGTTACAGGGATGCACGCTTAGATGAGTTAGAACAGAATGTAAAGCTTAAATTACATATAATTAGCAAACGCAAGGAAGAAACTCAGCAAGTGTGTTGATTTTATGATAAATAATTTAACAACAGCATGACTGCTTTCTAATTACTCTTGTTTTGCTAAGTTGAAATGGCTTAAATTGCCCACCAGCTTAGCCAGCATGTACCAAGAGCCAAAAAGCAAAACATAAGCATAGGAAACTATTATATTGCCACTCCTTATACAGAGATTATCTATGAGAGCAATAATCAAAATAGTCACCTTAATAAGCCAAAATATCCATGAATTTTTGCCAACATAATAATAACAACATGTTTATACAAATAAGGAATTATGATTATGTGCAATCATATATGGAATATCATGGCCAATCCTGACAGGACTCTGTGCACTGTGCCACGAGTCTTTGCCGTCTGTCGGCGCGTACCCCCCCCTCACGAAATTGTTATTATCGCGCGAGCTCCCGCGGGAGCGCGGAGCACCAACTTAAGAAATAATGGTAACCCATCGACTTCATTTTCCATGGCGCGTCCGTAGTGTAGTCCGTATATATATATATCACTCACATGCTTTTAGGCAGTGCCTACATCTATATATATATTAAGAGCTAATAATACCTGTATTATAATACCTGTATTATATGTACTGTAATATATACCTGTATTTATATGTAATAATACCCTGGTATTATTAGCTCTGATATATATATATATATCTATATATATATATATATACATACTAGCTATAAACCCGTCCTCACAGACACGTCGGAGTGGGTCTGATTGAGGCGATTGGCGGGTTTTAAGCCAATTTATCCCTTCAATTTAGCAGGGTTGGGGGGGGGGGTGTATTACAGTAACGCAAAAATACTTGATATTAGAAACTCGCAGTCACTTATACCATATTCTGTTTTTAAAAAAATGTATCTAAATATTCATCATAAAATCTGCAAAATTTTACCTTAAATGACATACAACTAGAAACGTGCAGTTGTCGCCAACTATATGTAGGCCTATCCCCTGTGATCTAGTATAAATGGAATATCTCTGTAAGGACGTAGAAGGCAGGTAAAGTTTAAACAAGTCACAAAGACAAAGAGTTTGTAGACAACTGGTCTGCCTCAGATGTTGCAAGGTAGGCCTATATGGCAATTTCTGGTTACCTCCTAGGAGGGCCGAAGCAGAAATGTATATCGACGCTCAAGCGTCAAACTAAGGCTCAAGGGCATAGTGGTTTTGGTTAGTGCGACACGACCCTTCTCCCCAAGATGTGTAAGCATACCAAGTTTTGGTTTCGCTAGGTGAATTAGGGGCCGAGTTAGAGAGCGAAGGGAAAATATGATCAAAGTCAAAGTAAAGGTTAAAATAAAGTCGCAGTCGACCTTGGTTTGGTACTCTGCACAAACCTTTCTGCCCCAAGCAATGTGAAGTATACGAAAGTTTGGCTCGCTGCTAGGTCAATAGGGGCTCGTGAGTATATAGCGGAAGGGAAATGTCTGCTGCGGTGCGACCGAGGGCGGCGGCGGGCGGCCGGCGGCGGCTGCGACAAACATGAAACCATAGTATCCCCGACGACTTCGTTGCAGGGGATACAATTAAATTGCATTCATTAATAAACATGACATTGTTTGGAATGCATCCTATTGCAGTTATTAGTATTAATTTAGTAGTAATTTCATTTTCTTTAGCTTTTGCAGTTTATTTACCCTCTCGAATCATCTTTCAAATTTCGCATAAGGTGCGTTTCGTAAGCGAGACGCCCCATCGTTTTTGGTGTGGCGAAGTCATCGCGTTGCATCGTAACAACATTTTTTGTCGAAATATTCTAGAACTGTAACTTGTGCTGTTTTTACCGATTGTGCATGGAATTTGGCACACAGGGCGATATAACATGTCCTATATATATATATATATATATATATATATATATATCATTATATATGTATATATTGGTCCTGTGTGCCAAATTTCATGACAATCGGGTAAAAACTGCAGAAGTTACAGGTTCTAGAATTATTTTCAACAAAAAAATGTTGTTACCATGGCCAACCGATGACTCGCCCACACAAAAACGATTGGCGTCTTCGCTTTACGATAACGCACCTTCATGCGAAATTTGAAGATGATCCGAGAAGAACTATGCAGCCGGTAGAGCGCTCACAAGGAAATCTCTGCGCGACCGGCGCGACGAGGCCAAATCCATAGTATCCCCCCAAACTCGTTCGGGGGATACAATTAATGACTTTACAATAAAGGTATAATAATAAGCATTTAATTAGGTGGAGCCTTCACCTAGCATAGCAAGCCACACTAAACGCACGCACGAACGCACGCACGCACGCACACATACACGCGCGCACACACACACACATACACACACACACACACACACACACATCATGTAGGATGTAGGATGTAGGATGTAGGATGTACGTTGTCAATGACGCTGTAACGACCATGACACGACCTGTACAAATTATAATCGCTTTGCAAAAACTGCATTTTAAGCTATGGTCGAATTCTCAAAGATTATTTAAAAGAAATGCACCTGAGACTGGCTATTTTTTGGGGAAATACACATTTGAAACATACAGACACAAATTATTAAAATCAACATTTTAATAATTATTTTGATTCTCTGTATTTTGTTCAAGTAGATAATTTAGAATGAAATAATGTGTACAAAAAATTGCTACAAATGATTTACATTGGCTACAAATAGTCAATTGGCTATTTTTTCGGCTACACTTTTCAATTTCCCAGAGTAACCCCCTGTGCTTACCTGGGTACTTTGCCTCGAGGGCGTTCCTCAGCAGCAGCGTGACGGCGTCGGGTGAGTAGTAGTCCTCGTTGACGAGGTGGTAGCGCCACTGGTCGGGCGCGAGTACGCCCACATTGTTGTCAAGCCACAGCCGGCGGAGGGCGTCCTGCAGGGCCTGGCGGTCGAAGGCAGACCGTATCGATGCCGCGTAGATCGTACGCACCTGAAATCCACACGGAAAGCACTTGTAAGCAACACTGACGCACTATTGACGAGAAAACATAACGTACGCACTTGAAATGCGACGGGAACCACTCGTAAGCAACGCAATCGCACTATTAAACAATAGGTCGTGTCATGGTCGTTACAGCGTCATTGTCAACTCGCGACGACGTCGCGCGGCTGAACGTTTGTGCGTCTCACCTGCGCCCAGGCGGACGCGAGCCTGTCCGCGGCGGCTTTCAGGTCCGGCGCGCCGCAGACAACGTCCGACAGCTGGTAGTCTTCCTTGAACACCCGCCCGTTGTCGAGGGTGACGTCGTCGAGGCGTCGCAGGCCGGCCGCGAGGTGGGCGAGCGGAGGCTGGGTCAGGTCGATGTAGCCGCCCGTGGTGTTGGTAACGCGCACCGTCCAGGGAAGCGAGTTGAGCGCGCATCCGTTTGTCTCATTCCACACGCGCTGCAGCACGCGCTCTAGTCCGCCGAGGTCCAGCTGCTGCCCTTGTCCCCGCGAACGTAGACGAGGTAAGGCTGCAAAGAACGGACGAAGGACCTCATCAGAGGAAGAAAAATTAAATGCGGGTTCCAGTTGAGAGCAAGGGATTTTTTCTTTTGCTTTTAATGTAAAGCCCTCCGGTTAAAAATTAATAGATGCATAGGGCCAAAAGTTGAAAGATTCCCGAAAAAATTGATTAATTGACAAATGATAACTGTAGGTATATAAGGCTACATTTCCTGCTTTTACCCAATTTGACATCGGCGGCTTTAACATGGTAACCTCATCGCCACGGACACATCTTCTTACTGGGCATTGCACTCGCAACCCACAACACGGTCGCGTTTCTAAAATTACGTCGCCATCAAATTCGAGTGTGCGAACGCTTTACATTTATTTACTCTTACTCGTTGCTTCACCCTTTTCTTACTCTTACTCTTACTCTTCTCTTGACTCTTTAATTCCATTGCGTCACTCGTGCAGACCTTGCTACACGTACCTGCTCGCTGGTGCACCGCACACGCAACCAACAACACGGTCGAGTTGATAAAACTCCATCGCAATCAAATTCGCGTGTACGAACGCTTTACTACTGCAGATCTTGCAACCTGCTCGCACATACCTGTGATACCTGCAATACCTGTGATACCTGCAATACCTGTGATACCTGCAATACCTGTGATACTTGCAATATTTGCAATACTTGTGATACCTGCAATA